AATAAAAATTCATGATTGAGTGTCCTATGAAGATCATAGAAATGACATTGTTCATGCAGGAAATGGATGTCAGGTGTGGGATTGAGCACCTAAGAGTTCAACAGACACAGCCCACCAGGATGGAGACCTTGGTCTTTGAAGAAGGACCAACTCGGATAGGAGAGGGACAGGCACGGAGCAATTGTACTTAGGAACATCAGTAATAGCAGTACAAAGCTAACACTTATTGAGTGCCTCTGTGTCATGCTCTGTGCAGAACATTCTGTGTACGTTCCCGTCATTTCCCGGATGAAGTTCACTCTGGCTCCTGTTTTTTGTCGGTGCATTCGTTCTTGCCATTTTTGGTCAGTGGATTCTTCCTTTTGTGTTTACCCACTTCAGACTTTGGAATCTCTTGTTTGTTGGCCATTTATTCCCTCACCAAATATTCACGTGCCATCACTCAGCTAGTCACTGCGACTTACAGAAATGAACAAGTAAGTAAAGGGCACAACTCTAGCCTTCAAGGGGCTTTCATACTGGTAGGGAGACAGACCAGAGACTCAGTGATTATGAAACTGCTCTCACGGCTGGCTGCCTAGTACAGCTTGGGGGTGAGCGAGCGGGGCAGGTCTAGGAAATGTTCTCAGTGACACGTGCACACAGTTATTTAGTGTTAAGACTGTGCATGATAGTTATATAACATATAACTATGATACATAATTGATATTATAGTATACTACGTATTATGTAATATGTTAGCTATATTATATCCATGTTCTAGACATCCAACATCATTATATATGAATGAGGTTAATAGTTCAAATGTCCGTCAAGAGGGGGGCATTAAATAAACAATGAACCACTGATGTGCTGATAATGGAAAAAGCTCCAAAATATATAGTAAGTAGAAAAAAGGAAGGACTCAGAAGAGTGCATGTCATATGCTGTCTTTTACGGGGGACAAAGAAGATAAATATTTTCTTGAATTTCATATAGACTCTTCAGACTCATGTGCATAGCATTAAAAACAAACAAAACAAAGTGGTTGCCCATTGGGGTGCAGAAATGGGGAACCCAGGCAAAGGGGTGCACAGGGGTAAGAGGGAATATTTTCACTGTAAGTATTTTTATGTTTTTGGACAAAGTGAATACATTATCTATTTAAAAATTAGCTTAACATGTCCTGAAACCTTTGCGGGAAAGGTATCTACTAGTGGACTGAGGGTGGGGTGAGAGGGAGGAGGGTGAGGTGGAGAGCCATTCCAAGCAGCGTTGCAGGTTTGCAACACTGCCGTGCTTGCAAAACCTGTCATGTTCTGTGAAGATGGCAAGTGGGCTCCTTCTGGGGAGTGTTGGGAGATGAGGGTGGGAATCAGACAGGGGGCAGGTCCTGAGGTCCTCATGTGACAAGACACGAAATCAGATATCATCCTGAAGGTAATGGGACTCTTTGGCCGTTGATCAGAAGGAAAGTGAGTGATCAGACTGGCACTTTGTAATCATTCTCGGGGGAGCAAGTACACGTGTGATGGTGGATGAAGCAGAACCGGGGCCAGAAAGACCATCAACTCTCTAGGAAGTTACTGAGCACCCTTCCGGTAGAAATGATGAACATATGAACCGAGGGCAAGGACAGTGCTCGCAGAGAGGAGGGACTTACATCATCCCACAGCTTGATCCTGGCTACCGCCCTTGCCTTGTCATCTCCTCCACGGATTTGATTTTGTTCACTTCCTCATACTGTCCACAGTCTTTCTTTGGATTCTACTCTGGAGTTTAAGTTGGTGTTCTGACAATTTGCAGGAGCCCTGCTACAGGCTTCAGTGAGATCAGGGCCACAGGAAGCCCCTCTCTGCCTTGTACTCTCCCTCTCCCGCTCACCCTGGGTGCCGGTGAGGGAAGCCCAAGACAGGAAGCTGCTGTGCAGAGACAGTAGCACTGACCCACGGCGGAAGCTGGAGCGCAGGTGCTGGGCCAGGTGAGCCGGGAACATGGTCCCACAGGGGATCCCAGGCCATTGCCTTCTTGTTGAGTTCTGCTATTTTTGTTGTTGTTGTTGTTGGTTTTTTTCTGTCAAGCTTGTACCTAGTCCCTGTAGATATTTATGACTGGGATTTCATGCTTTCCAGTTCCAAGCTCTACTCTCAGGTGGGACAATACAGGCAGGATTCATCAGCAGAGCACAGCTGTATCCATGGGTAAATCATTCAAATACTTCTCTCTCACTTTGCCAGAGAGCTGCTGCCTTCGAACCCCAGGACCTCCTTCCATAATCCTGCCCACCTCCCTCGGCTTCTTCCTGTGTTCTTCTAGATCTCTCTGTGCCTCTAGCGATGACAGGGGTCCCCCCTCTCCCCCTCTCCAGTGCAGCAGGCCTCCAGGGCATTGCCCCATTTTCAAAGCCCTTTATCCCTTTGCCAAGTTGTTGCCCATATAACACAGGCTGTTAAATATTGCAACCATGACCCCCTTTTTCAGGAATAAGACAGACATCTCAGCACATGCTAGGCAACGACTATATCAAGTGCTCCCATGTCATCACATTAAAAACTGCAATTCTAATAATTATAAACACATTTATATGAAATAAGTGGAAAATATAGAAAGCCCATATAACCACACAATAATAAATAATTTCACACCTGTGAAACAATTTCAGGGTATATTCTATTTTAATATAAAAAGATAAAATATTGGAAATCTTGTCTTACAGGTGTATTACCCAAGAAAAGTCAAAGATGAGCAACTAATCCTTTTATGGCTGGAAGGCTGAATAGTATAGTCAGGACTATAGATGCAGGTGGACAGTTTTGAATGTTCACTAAACAAATATGTCAAGGAATTAATTTATAACTGACAAGTACTTTTAGGTGGCAACATATATTTTATTTAGTATTTCTCCTTAGTGTATGTTTTTATGTGCCAATTCAGCCCCTGAATAATCAAATAAATACTGTAACCTTGCCATTCATTTGATATGGAGAAATGACCTTTTGATTCCTTCTGCTGCATTATAAAAAATTTGAACATTTTGCTATCATTCCACAAAATGGTTTAGCAATTTACTATGAATAATTTTTTAAAAGGAGGGAGACCTGTCCAGATATGAAAGATTTTAGAAAAATGCTTTAAAAATTAAAAAAAAAGAGTAAGAACCTTTAGAATCTAGTATACAATAATAGAGTACAAATGTACCTTAAAATAGACTGAAAAATTTTAAGAGCATATTTGCCTCCATATATTTTTAAAACAATGATTTAAACATATATATTTGCCACAGTTTCATATGTAACCACTAGGAGATTAAAGAATAACCAGAAAATAGGAAAAGACTGATAAGCATCTATTGACAATTGGCAATATATAGAAACCAAGAATAATCAGATTCCCTGTTACATCCCAGAAAGAAAATTCCTAAGTACTGAAGCCCAACCTTTTCCTATTTTTTACCCTGTGCAGAGTTTGCCTTTCATTGAACTAGAACCCTAAACAAACTTTGATTTTTTATTCTAATCTTTTGTCTTTCTAGAAAATTATATTTTTAAATGTGCTCTAAAACACTTTTTTAGAACTTGCACATGCAGGTTAAAGAACAATAATTCATACATTATACAGGTGAGGTAAGACCGCTACGTTGGTGGGCCCAAGTGAGCCACGGCTCCTGGTATTGTCACTTTTTTATGGCCACACCTCTACATTCGGCTTAGGCTTGGTCATATGACTTGCTATAGTCAGCATTACTCAAGTAGATGCCAGATAAATGTTGGGCTTCTCTTGGAACCTAGCTGCCTTGCTGTAAGAAAGCCTGTCAAGTGTCTGCAAAAAGACAAGATGGAGGAGGAGGCTGGAGGAGACTGTGGCCCAACAGCCAGCACCAGACATATGAGTGAGACCTTCTTGGATATTCTAGCTCCAGCAGAGCTCCTCGATGAAAGGTTCATATGAGTGAACCTGCATGGTATCATGTGGAACAAAAGAACTACTCAGCTGAACCCTGCCCAAACTCCTGACCCACAGAACTCTAAGGAATACATTTATTTCCTCAAAGTAATTCCATTTTTGAGTGGTCTGTTGTGCAGCAGTAGAAAACAGATATAGTAAGTGATAGTAAGAATTTTTCAACCTTCTTTCTGGAAATAATTCCAAGGTGCATTCTTCATTGACATACACCTCTTATATTTCTGTTGTTTATTTATTCACTATTGAGCCTATGTCTTTTTTTCTGACTCTATCTCTAACCAGTTGGACAGAAGGACTGAGATGGATGGTTGGTTCATATAAAAACTGTGATTGAAAATGGCTTTATTATATATTGACTCAACATGCCACGTCCTTGCTGGATCTCAAAGGAACACCATTCTTGATAATGGTATATATCTTAAGTTAATGCCACTCCACAATGTAATCAAATTGTAGGTGGGACAATCTGGTAGAAAAAATTAACAGACTCCCAGCAGATAAACCTTGTGTGGTCCATTCAAGAAATTCCTTCTCTCTGCTCCTTTATATGGAATTGTATCTTGACACCAAATTTTAGGCACTACAATGTGGAAAACTCTTTGGAGGGATTTGTTTTCTCAAGGATTTATTATTTGAAATATGAGGCTTATTAGATTGAGCAAGCCATTGAGTGTGTTTGCATCCTTCTTTCTCTGGAACTAATGCACATTAGTTAAAGAATGCTTTCAAAGTAGAAGTGGTAGCAGAAGTGTAAGTAGAGAATGTACAAGACTACTTTTGGGGGACAGTGATGCTATTTCATCCAATGGTGTGTATTGTTAGAACTATAGCAACTAACTAGTTCTAAAACGAAGTGTCTGGATACAAAGAGGAAAAGATGTAGCCTCATTTAGTATAGCTGCTGTTAGCATACTTGCTGCTATTTCCATTGTTTAAAGAATGTTCTCCATGTGCTTACTTAAGGCTTTATCTACCAGTTGGGTGCAGACAGAGGTTTACTTACAAAATGGCAATAAAGGAGAGTCTAGATCAGACAACAATACAAATGTGCTACTTACAGAGAGGAGTATCTGGACAGCACTGTGGATGACCTCTAGATACTGGAAGTCAACGATGCAGCCTGTGACAGAGACATAAGTGTAGTCGTCCATCATGCCATGGGCTGACGGAGGCAGCACTCTTCGGACACAACCAGGCCCATGTTCCCGCCACCATGACCGGTGTACAGAAATGTTGAACGTCATCAGATCTGTATCCTAGGTGGGCAGGAGACAAGAGAGCAAAAGGAGAAATCTTATCATATCACAACTTTGATTTCCAACCTTAGGAAGAAATCAGGATAACTGGGTGATGGGCATGAAGGAGGGCACGTGAATACTGGGTGTTATATGCACCTGATGAATTATTGAACACTACATCTGAAACTAATGATGTACTAGATGTCAGTATATATATGTATATACACGGTTTGTTACACGTATCATTCAGTTACCTTCACAGTTACAGCACTTTATTGATAATAAAACATTTAGTACTATGTACTAATGAGGTACTATATGTCAGAATTTAAATCAAAAAAGATAAAAGTAAAAAAAAGAATTCAGAATGAACAAAATTGTTGAAATGATTTAAATCTTAAGTGAAAAATAACAGAACTACAAATGGCTGTGTATACCATATGTCCAAACTATTGGATTATAATTGTTTAATATGGAGATATAATCCTTTGAAAAGTAACATTTTAAGGTTAGCGCACATCAAAAATCCAGAGACAAGACCCAATACATATGTTCGTTTTAAAAATTATTTTGTTCAGTTTGAAACTTTTTGTCTGCATTTTCTTGTTCATCATCATCAGCGTCACCATCATGGGCTAACATTTAATGAGTGCTTTTTTGCATGTTAGGCATTGTTCTAAGCATTTATTATATTTATATGTCCTTTAATATTCATGTAGGTACTATTACTAACCCAATTTACAGTAGGCTGAATAATAGTCCTCCCAAAAAACATTCATGGAACCTGTGAATTTTACCTTCTTTGGATTATCTGAGTGGGCCCTGGATGCAATCACATGTGTCCTTATGAGAGGGACTCCAAGGGATAGCAGACACAAGGAAGAAGAAGAGAAGGCAATGCGACCATGCAGGCAGAGAGTGGAGTGATGTGGCCATAAGCCCAGGAAAGGTGGAAGAGACAAGGAAGGATTCTCGTCTAGAGCTCCAGAGGGAGCATGGCCCTGTCAACACCTTGGTTTCAGACCAGTGAAACTGATTTCAGACTTCTGGCTTCCAGAACTGTGCGATGAAGGTCCTGTTGTTTACGCCCTCAGGTTTGTAGTATCTTGTTACAGAGCCCCCATATGGAAACTAACACAGGTAAGGAAAGCGAGTCACAGAGAGGTAAAATAGATTGCCCAATTCAATGAAAAAATTAAATAAATTGTTAATTTAATAAGAGACCCAAAACTTGATCCTATGCAGTCTGTACTTCCAGCTATGGGGTTGTACCATCCTTTTACCTACTCTGTTCTCCCTCCCAAACCCTTACAATCCCTCCTACCCTAAAGGGAGCTGGATCCTTCTTCCTCAATTGTTTCTGGAAAATACCACTGACAGCCCCAGTGAAAGAACAAAGAAGCCAATCTTTGACATTTACATATCAAAATAAGCTTTCTGAGCTCTTAGCAGAGACAACAGCCCAGCTGCTTAATCCTCAAAAGATGCCTTTTAGTATTTTGGGGGAATGTCAGCCTTGAACAACTAAGATCATACTGTTTTTGCCATAACAATAGATTGAAAAGAATAGATAAAGAGCCAGGCTCTTGACTCCCAAATAACCTAAAAATTGCAGCTGCTTGGTGGAGCCAGAAGGAGGAAGTGTGATGATGGAGAGGACCAGGACCCTGCACCTGCAGGGAAGCCACAGGAGCAGGAGGGGGTCAGCTTTTGTTGATTTCCCAGCCATCACCATGAGCAAGCTCCAGAGCCCCTAGTTCAAGGGGACATGATGGTCTTTGCTCAGAAGCCCAGGGACTGCCCAATAATTGCACAACACAAATGATACTCATCCCTACCTCAGTGGGATGAAGACAGTCCCCACCTCAATGGCATAGGGCAATTGTAAGGGCCAGAAATTGATTCTAGAACTCTGAAAACACAGGGGCAGCTGGTGTGAAATGGGAAGCCCTTGAACTTATATGTGTTGGGGGCTTAAAACAACCAGTATGAGACCTCACTGAGCAAGGACTCCCTGTTATTCTCTGCTGTATTTGAACATGAATCATGAGGCAAGAAATATGTCCAGTTCATGTGAGTAGGCAAAGTTACTCTGCAGTTTTAGGTTTTCCTCAACTCAAGGAACTCAAATTGAGACAGAGCAGGGACTGAACTCAGGTACACTCAACCCTGACCACAAAATCCGGCATTCCTTCATAGCGTAAACTCTATACCTCTTGAGGACCATATCTTGCAGGAATGAGGAAGCAGGATGCTCACCGAAGGAGGGACGCCACTGTAAAGACTAGTGAAGACCGAACCACACCAGTCTGTGCCAAGGTGGACCCCAGCATTGACCTTTCACTTACTTTCCCCTCCCTCTTATAATGCTAAAAATCAAGCCCAGGGGTGGAGATTTAACATGCTAATTAGACACATGACACGTGAAGAAGCATGACCTGCAAGTGCTCAGGTGCCAAGAAATTCCCATCTCTACATGCTTGAATGTCAGTCCTTTCCTGTCTCAGTTCCTTTAAAAAGTTTGCGGGCACTTGTTCTGAAAGCCAGTCTGAAGGACCCTTTCCTTTCTGCTGTCTCCCTTGTGCTGGGGCATAAGACCCAATAAAAAGCCTTGCTCAGGGATGCCTGGGTGGTTCAGTCGTTAAGCGTCTGCCTTCGGCTCAGGTCATGATCCCAGGGTCCTGGGATGGAACCCCGCATCAGCTCCCTGCTAAGTGGGAAGCCTGCTTCTCCCTCTCCCACTCCCCCTGCTTGTGTTCCTTCTCTTGCTGTGTCTCTTTCTGTCAAATAAATAAATAAAATCTTAAAAAAAAAAAAAAAGCCTTGCCTGGAACTCCTGCGTGGTCTCTAGTCAACCTCTTTTGCTTGGAGAGCCCAAGGACCCTGGTTGGTAACAAAACTACTACTACTGTAAGTATGCCTCCGATTATATCGCTATTAAAACATTTTACATCCTTTTTTTCCTTTTTGGGTTGTTGATTTGTTACACGTATCATTCAGTTACCTTCACAGTTACAGCCCTTTATTGATAATAAAATATTTTACATCTTTTCTCTCTCTCTCTCTCTCTTTTTCGGTTCTTGGTTTGTTACATGTATCATTTGCAGTGCCCTCCGAAGGGAGAATATTACAGAAAAATAATTGCTTTAGCTAGTGAATTCTGTTTAACACAAGGCAATTTACCTGCAGGCAAACTGCACGCTGACTGCTCCCTTTCCTGACCATCAGATTTAATCTCTTACAGTTTGTCCTAATCACAACCGAAAAACTATTATTTCCCGTTTTAATAGAATTCATTAGGTTCAGGATGAACTGGCATGATCTCAAAACTCATAGCAATTTCTACTCTTTAAGCATTCTTACCCAGTGGCCTTTTCTATTGCTGGACTCTTAAATTCCTTGGACTAAAATTTATATTACACAAATAAAACAAAAGTAAATTTATGAACTCATGATACATATTTGTTACACTCATAAAATCCTTCTGTGTAGTTCTCACTTAATTTGTTGGCACTATAAATATTTATAAACTGTACTCTTTTTTTGCAATGGCTGTATTAAAATTTGAAAGAGAATGTCGGTAGTACCAAATTATACTTAAAGTTCAAACTTCTAACTTAGATTTGGTATAAAATTGTATTGCAAGTTTGTGTCTGATTTCAATCCCCTTCAGTAGCTAGACTTCAAACATTTCAAAAAAAACCCTTCACACACAATAACTCAATTTCCTAGATGAGGCACATCGGAGGAAATGCAGCACAGAAAACTATAACAACATTCTTTATAAAGAAAAATAAATAAATAAATAAATAAATAAATAAATAAATAAATACAGAAGATACTTAGTTTGTTGAAGCTTTTTATTACCACATCAAAGCCTGTAGTTTTGAAATACATGGGTTAATGCTAAACCGTAGATCAACAGAGGGATCTTTAAAATAATTTCAATAACTCAAATGTCATTTCTCTTTCACTTCTTGGAGTTAGAATATTACATGATGATTTAAGCACACCATGGTTAAGAAAATTGGCGACTGGTATCTTTGTCATTTTCTTTAGAATTTAAAAGATATAATCAATGATATTTGTATTTATGCAAGTGTAAGTGATTACCAAAGTACCAAAGAAGAAGCAAGGATGGAGAAGAAAAACATGAAACCAAAGCAGGAGGGCTTGGGAGGCATGAGGACAGCCTGGAGAGAGAGAGCATGTCCAGGCCAACCGAAGAGAGAATCAGGGAAAGTGGTGAGACTTTCTAGACTAGACTAGACTCAAAGCCTGGTAAAAAAAAATAAAGGACCATTGAATTCGATGACTGGTTGGGCAGGGAGAGCTTTTAATAAAATGCAATACCAGGAGAGTTTTGGGAGTGAAAAATCCCTCCAAGGAATGGAGGGGACTGAGAAGAGAGAATTTGATGTATTTTTTTTATGAAGTGTGCGAGTCAAGGTAGTGAGAGCACAGGTGTTGGCTTCAAGGGTGAGCAAGGAAAACATGAGTCAGTGCATGGAGAACCTCATGTTAGCTCTCTCTGCTCACATTCACAGAGTTATGACTTAGAGGAAAATTATTGCAGAATACCTGCTTTCCCCTAATATCTACTTAAGCAAATATTAAATGTTTAAAAGTTCTTTCATCTGTCTAGTGTGAATTCCAAACTTGTTCCCATTTTCTTCAAATACTTGAATTAAACAAAAAAGGAATTTCCAGAGTTCTTTGAAATGTTGTTCATTAACTGTGTAGGTGGACATGCCTGCCTACATCCCATTCACAGTTAAGTGTACCCACCGTACTGGAATCAGCTCAATAGTCACTTCTTTTATAGTAACTGCTATATAATTTCTAGCTAGTCTCTGTCTTATTCTTCTATGTACTTTTAATCATCTGCTTTTTTTTTTTTGGTATGTGTCTAATTCAACTTTAGCTAATGCTCTCTACTTCTAGAAATGGATTCTCAACTGCTAATAATTTTTTTTCTGTTTCCTTAGTTGTGGCTCAAAGAGTCATTGAATCCACTT